TTGTGCAGTGTACATGTCGTGAACAGCTCCTGGATGCTGTGTATCATCATTAAGGTACAGCTTCCATCTCTGAGACAATGCCAGTCCAACTAAACTGTTCAGGAAAGTTCACAGTCACTTTGGTTCCATCTATAGCTGTTAAGACATTGGGAAGAAAGACATTGTAACTGATATCCTTTGACATTTCTGTATTTGGTGATTATCTATTGTCTATATTCTAAGAAAATGTCATTGACTCTTATGAAACTGATAGAAAATGCTAGCTGTGACTTAAATACTGTAGTTCTTCAGCTCATTCTAACTTGCTAATAACACTTGCCTACGACCACTCCAGTGCTGTGCTTGGTGACACTTCCCCAGCCATGTTCTGGAGTTCTGATGGTGGGTTTAACACGGACCCTCGCTCCAGGCCTTAAACTGAGCACTTCTGAATTATAAAGGAATATTTGCAATGTCAGTTTAAAAGTCATGGAGGAATGGGTCAGGGTTATTACAGTAAAACAAAAATTAAAACAAAAATTAAAAACCATTAAAAAACGTTTGCTCTGTGAAATAAAATAAACATTAACTGAAATAAAGTTTAAAAAATTCAGATAATTGCCAAGGCAACATTCCTCAGTAAGCTGAACTACTAAAGTAACTAAAACTAAAATCAAAATAATAAAAACTATATAAAGAAAACACAAAAAACAAATAAGTAACAACAAAATTACTACAACATTAACTAAAATGAAATGCAAATCAGAAAAAAACTAACAAATTAGAAATATTAATAAAAAATATAATAGTATATTTATGATACTAAAATAGCACTAGAATAAATGCAATAGCTTGTATAGAGATAATAAACAGAGTTGGCTAACCATAGCAGGTTGATAATGAGTTAACCCTTAACTATGGCATTACATATGGAATGATACATTTAATGTTTAACCAACAAATTTTGTCTAAAATAAACATATAATAATATGCTAGTCAACTGTTTTTTTTTACAGGTTTTTGTTTAATAATGTCCTAATAGCCATCAAATTACCTGAAACATCTTCGTTTATGAGTTCCATTTCTAAAGCGACACCAGTCCAATCTGTCTGCTCGGGGAAATCCACAGTCAAAGACTCGTCCTGAATTCCTGCCGAAGATCAGAAAGTCATTAATAACCCCAAAATCATTTGATGTGTAAATGATTGTGTTTAATTTCATTTTCAGGTATCTCGCAATATATGAATCTGAATTAGTAAAATCAGTGAAAGATGCTGAGTGTATTTACTTTTAATGACACCGATGCTGTTGTGAGTGACTGATCCCCATCCATGTTTTGGATCTTTCACTGAAGATTTCACACTGACTCTGTTTCCGATCTTGAAGTAGGCATGACTGGGGGACCCTAAGAAGTAGTGTTACTAGTTAAGCATAGAGTTAGGCTAATACATTACACCTAGATTAGGCAAATCTAGATTAAAACATTCAAGTGTGGAAAATGAATATAAAACGTAACAAAAAATGTGTTTAATAGAAAAAGTATATATTTGCACATATATGTAAATATCAGGGCACAGGTTTTCTTAATAAAACAATTGGCCATATTGCACAGATCATCTCTTGAAGATATTGTCATTCATCAATATTGTGCAAAAATATACTATAAAAATGATCTCTATTAAATCAATGCCTGGACCATGTACTTAAAACAGAGTAAACTGTGTGGAGTGGCACACATTGAGTGGTGATGAATTATTAAAATGCTATTTAACAAAATAACAGTGTGAAACACATACAGGCATCTAAAAATACATACATTTTACTATTGATTTAATTATTCAGTTTATAATACCTAAATCAGCACTGACTACAAGCTCCATTTCAGAAACTTCATCAATCCAACCTTCCTGCTCAGGGAAATCTACTGTCACAGTCTCACCCTGCACATCTAGAGAGAGGAAATCTTTTGTTATCTTAAAAATATTTTTTTATGCCTAAAATATGAGTGATTGTAACAATAATTGTTTCAATCTGTCAGATCAATGACACCAGATGATGTCCTTACTTATGACACTGCCAATGCTTTTGTGGCTGACTGAACCCCATAGATATTTGGGGGTTTCTACAGATGGCTTCACACAGACCTTGTCTCCTATTTTAATATTGCAGTTGAGAGCTGAAGATTCTGAAATGCAGAGAGTAGAACAGAATCTCATTTCTTATGATTTACCGCTGTGGCAGTCTCAAATGTCTCACTCTGTAGATAAACAGCTGGGATAAAAGAGTATAGTATCCTCAAGTATATAAATGTCACATTTCTGTAGCAAAAATATTTATCCAAACAAGACCTCATATGATTTTTGCTGGGTTGCTACTAATTAGATGAGGAAACATTCTATTTCTGTTCTGTATATTTACCGCACTCATCATCATCAGTTACTGGCTCAATTTCAGAAAGAAGTCCTCTCCAGCTTGCAAATCCAGGAAAGTCAATGACCAAACACTTATCACTTTTAATATCTGAAAGAAGAACATGCAAATGTGAGTGCTGCACATACTCGTTTGTGATGTTTTGCAGCATAATGTAGCATTTGTGTTTATGAGAATAATACATATCTTGCCTTTTACCACTCCCACACTCTTATGTGTGACAGCGCTACCCCAATCATATTTTGGGGTTTTAATAGAAGGTTTCACTCTGACTTTGTCTCCAACCTTAATGCAGACTTGATTGTTCTTTATGGCCAGATCTGAAACTGGTAAAACATATAGGCCTATTTCATCACTCAGAGGTACAATCAAATACAACCAGTGAAAGTAACTCTTAGTAACTCTTACCTTTTTGAACAGTTTCATTTATTTCCTGCATGAAAATAGTCTCCAGCCGCTTTTTAAGTTCACAAACAAGTTTGTTTACATCCGGATAAGGGCAGCAAGACTTGAAAGAGTGACTGGGGAAGCCATCAGACCCAGAAGAAGAGGACACAGACTCATAATTCTGCAGAAAGGTTCAGTCCAGTTTAGCGTTTTCTATTGTGTTATATACAACACTTAAATAAGTGCAACACGTAGAACATTTTAGCAGCAACTGTAACAATATTACAGTAATAATAATAATGAAGTCTTCCAAGGTCATTTTCATTACAATTGATAACTGAGACAAAATATGGCAGTTGCGTTTGTGTGAAAAAGGAGAGAGCGAGTCCATGGTGTGATATGACAGACATTAAAGTAACACCTGTTTCAGAGCGGACTGATATACAGCATTGCCAATATCAGGAAATATCAGACCGATGAATATACCAATCAGAATCAAGTACCGAAAAGAGAGTGTGTAATAATGTCTAACTCTTGATAAGTAGTCTTAAAACTTTTGCTTAAAGCAAAGTGTACCTGAAGAAATTGGATGTTGTCGTCTGTCTGTAGAAGATCTTCTAAAACTCCTTCCCTCTTCTTCAGCTCAGTAATTTCCTCCTGCAGCTTCTTTTGTAGCTCTGTGCCTTGATCCAGATCAGCTTTTTCTTGAGCTTTTATCTTTTCAATCACCTCATTGCTTTTTTTTTCAATAAATTTGACTAATTCACTGAAGACTTTCTTACTGTTTTCCACTGCCTTCTTTGCAGAATCCTACCGAAGGAAAACAAAAATGTTGTTTACAATTACAAGATCCAACGTGGCAGTGATTAACCTTGTGTTAATCACTGCCAAGTGTGAAAGTTATTTGTTTTACATCAGAACTTACTGAATGGGAGGTGATGTCCATTTTCATTTTCTGCAGCTCTTTTTCTTTTGCCTGGATTGTCTGCTTGACTTTTGTCTGAGTGTCTGTGAGTTTTATCTAAGGGCAAATCAGTACCAGTCTGTTTAATCTTACTGAAAACATTTGTCAATAGCATTTTGTAATTAAGTTAAGTTGGGTCATAAAAGGAAAAAAAAATGATGGACATCTTCACCTGTTTCTCGTTGCGCTCTATTGTAGATGGCACTGTGTCATGACCCTTGTGGTCATCCAATAAGCAGTGCATGCAGACACATTTCTGGTCCGTTCGACAGTAAACCTCAAGAAGCTTGTCGTGTTTGGGGCATACTGGAATGAATGCAGCTTTCACCAGCTTGTGTTTCTTCAGGGCAGGAACATTATAGTGGGGTTGTACATGTGTTTCACAGTAAGAGGCTCGACACTCCAGACAAGACTTGACAGCTTTGATCATTTCTCCAGCACAGAAATCACACGCAATCTCTCCAGGTCCAGCAAGACATTGAGCAGACTCTGACACTTGCAGCTCTGTGCTCCTCAGTTTCTCCATTATTTCAGCAAGCACTGTACTTCTGTTGAGTGGAGGCTTTGAATTGAAGGCCTGTCTGCACTGTGGACATCTATAGATCCCGTTCAGATCATTTGTATTCCAGCACTCACCTATACAGCTCATGCAGTAACTATGTCCACACGGAATTGTCACAGGATCCCTCAACAAGTCCAAACATATTGAGCAGCTGTACTGGTCCTGATCTCCAAGTATAGCCTCTGCCATGTCTGCTAAAACCTCCTTGTGTTAGCAAAGAACCATGGATGTAAGTGAAGGTATAAGTGTGAGAGTGAAAGTGAAAGCAAGGAATGATTCATCATAATATACACAAATACATTGATACAAATGCTTTTGTGAGTTGGGAAGGGTAAAAATAATAAAAAATAATTGTTTTGTATTTTGAATTGTTTTCATAACAGAGACTGGTGTGCTTTAAGTTATGGTCGTAGATCTTTGAATTTTGATCTTTAGGGGTTTTCGGTATCACCATTAGATGGCGACATCTAGTCAAGTCTTCCTGACAGAAACCGGGAGCGTTTTAGTCGTGCAGCCACAAAGCCTGTTGGGTAATGTAGTTTTGTCGAACATGAAAATCAGTAATGCATACGAACTGAACTGTATGGTAGGGTGACCATATTTTGATTACCGAAAACCAGGACACTCGGCCCGGCATGTATGGTCAACACAACTAATTCCTCAATAAAAATAATTAGCTCGTCATCATGATTCTTTAATTGACACAAACTCAGCTAGGAAGAAATATACAAAACAAGAGCCACAGATACTTGTAGACCAATATGTATACACATGCCTATAAGCTTTAGCCACAATGGTTGAATATCAGTGCAGTTAATTTAATTCACTCAAAAGACAAAAAAGAAAAAAAGACTAATTTAGCACCAAAATGTGCATTTGTTTGGATTGTATTTTTGACAGGACATTTTCAATTTATTATTTTTAAAATTATAATTAATTATTTTAGATTTATTATTAAAGTGAGATTGAACAGACATAATTCAGTGTATGTGCTCATTCCCAGAGCTAAAACAGATTTCAGTTGTTAAAAATCAGTCTACACCTGTAGAAAGATTCTTTCTAACTGCAGCACCCATGCTGTAGCTAATAAATTATGATGCAATCATACATGAGTCAAATTGAAGACAAAAAAAATGCAAATGAATTTGAAACACTTGAATGAAAAGAACCATTAACGTGAGCTTCTGTCTAATATAATATCTCTCTCCTGTGCTGTGAAGGACACCAGTATGAAAACCGTAAGACTGAAATACAAAAAGTGTACATTTTTCATGTTCACATGACTATAAACTTACAAATAAAGACATTGGCAAGTTTCAGTGAAAACTCATTCACAAAAGCAAATGGTGAGCAGAGACGTCCACAGTCACATCTTCACGATCTAGGGGGATCCTGAAATGTCAGTGTCTGTAGACATACAGAAAGGTATAAGATTTTGGTTGCATGTTGGTGGGAAACAAAAACTAATTCAGGGGAAAAAACACATCTTCAAGTAACTGACCTGAGTCGTTTACCAACTCCATCTCGGAAAGAATACCTTTCCAGCCTTTGTGTTTTTGAAAATCCACGATCACATCCTCAGATTTGATATCTAGCCAGATAAGAGGACAGCCACTTAAAATACATCATTTCCAAGAGCAACTCCATGTATACTAAATGTAAATATACTGTGTACAATAAAATATATTCAAATAGAAAACAGTTATTTTAGCCTCCTGAGACCTCATATGAGGACATTATATTTTGGTGTATTTCTCTGAGACTATACATGCCACAGTTTTAAGTCTGGATGTCCTGTACAGAGCACATTCAGGGCTTTTCAGAGATACTAAATGTTTGGGTGTTTCACTATGACCACTCCCTCTCCTTGGTCTTCAAAAATGTCTGATATTAATTTAGTGACACTCTTATGGAAATATGATAATATTTTGTAATTATCATTTAAATCTGTCTAATTTTTAAACTCTGTCATAAATCAACATCTCAGGAAAATGTTATGGGGTTTCAAATCAAAATATGACTTTCTGTTATGAAACAGGATGTTGATTTCATACGTCCGCATGTTTATTAGCATTTTGGGAGACACAACAAATGAATAGGAAAAGAAAATATATTTCAATATTCCTATGAAATATGATATATTATGAAAATCTTGTCAAATATTACTCCCATTATTACACTTTTTTTTTCATTACATGTTGCCCCAAAAACACATTAATATGCAAATTAGATTTAGTTTATAGATACATTGTATATAATGAGAAAACCCGTTTATGGCCATTTTACACACATTTTGCAGAAAGAAAAATGGTATATCAAATCATTCTGTTATAGCATAGTTGAGAACCATCTTTATACAAAATTTGGTAAAAAAAAAAAAATTCCTGAAAACTAAAATTGTATTGGTGATTTAAAAATCTATTGTTTTTGCCTATGCATGTTCATTCATGTCTTTTTATTTAAAAAAAAAATTGAGTCCCAATGTCCTCTACCGAGGACATAGCATAACTTATGAATGAAATATAATTTCACTTTTTTTTTTTATACTCTAAACAATGTAAAGACATGAAAAAAAATATTTTTTTCCTAAAAACCTTTTCTCGGGTCTTAAGAGGTTAAATTGTAAAAATATTTCACAATATTACTGAATTTACTGTATTTTTCATTAAATAAATGCATCTTGGTGAACATAAAAGACTTCTTTAAAAAAATCTTAATTATTCCAAACTTTTGGCTGCCAGTGTATATGATAAATATATTAAAGTAGTTTATTCAAGTTTGTTCTTTGAGAAAAATACACAGATCTTGCCTTTTACCACACCAACACTCTTGTGTGTGACATGTCCACCCCAGTTGTGTTTTGGAGTAGTTATAGAAGATTTCACTCTGACTCTGTCTCCAACCTTGATGTCAACTGAAACATTTTTTGTTAACAAATATAAAAAAGAAAATAATACAAAGCACATTTTCACTTACAAGTACAAACAGATTAAAAAAAAAATAGTATGGGAAGATTACCTAAATCACCAATGGTCACAAGCTCCATTTCGGAAACTAAACCAGTCCATTTCTTATGCTCAGGAAAATCTACAATCAAAGACTCATCCTGAATATCTGCAGAAATAAAAAACATAAATAAAAAATAAACAAACGTCCTATTTTCTCACTCTGTGGCACACAGTGAGCCTACAAAAAATCTTTAATCATCATTTCATTTATTCTGGTAAAAAGCACAATGCATGAGGAATGCATGCCGAAATCATTGCCGGTCAGTCAGTGCTCTCACTTTTAACAACACCAATGCTTTTGTGAGTGACTGCTCCCCATTTGTGTGTTGGCGTAACAACAGATGGCTTCACACGAACTTGGTCTCCAATCTTAATAACGGACTCCAGACCTGAACATCCAGAAATGCAAGGAGCGTCACGATCGTCTGAGAGGAGATTTCTGCTGAATAGCTGCTACTTAAATGTCATGGAAATACTGTAATACTCTGTGTAATTACCAAACTCATCATCACTGGTTACTAGCTCCATTTAAAAGAGAATTCCCTTCCAATTTGCATGTTCAGGAAAGACAACAATCAGACTGTCATCACATTTAATGTCTAAATTTTAAGGCTTGTACTTGAGTGCAGATTGCTTGATAACATGATTTATCTGAGGGGAAAAAACACAGATCTTGCTCTTTTACCACACCCACATTCTTATGTGTGACATAAGCACCCCAGCTATGTTTTGGGGTGGTAATGGGAGGTTTCTCTCTGACTTGATGTCCAAACTTGATGTCAACTGGAGCATTTATTATTGACAAATTTGAAACAAGTAAAATATTACAGTAAGCACTTTCACTTCTAAGTGCACAACACAACATTTAAGCTGCAGCTAAGAAATTGTCTGCAATTATTTAAATGAACATGTTTTTAAATACAAACAATTACCTGGACCAGTGCTGGCCACAATCTCCATTTCTGAAACAATACCAGTCCAGTTTTTTTGCTCCGGGAAATCTACAGTCAAAGACTCACCCTGAATTTCTGCAAACATAAAAAACAAACCATTCATGTAAAATATGCTGCTTTTTCGCACTCAAACAGGCATTCAGTGAGCCTATAATAATTTCTTTCAACATTCATAATTTTCAGACATTTGTATGACTAATGTAAGTTATGAAACTCAGTGCTCTTACTTTTAACAACACCAATGCTTTTGTGAGTGATTGCTCCCCATTTGTGTGTTGGAGTAACAACAGACGGCTTCACACGAACTTTGTCTCCAATCTTAATATTGGAGTCCAGACTTGAAGGTCCTGAAATCACATGGAGGTCTGAGTGTTTGATGGAAGACTCTCATAGATTATTCTCTCATGGATCAAATTTGGTTTGTTTTAAATACTCTGTGCCTCATTCTACAGATGGACAACTGTTTTGCTAAAATAGACTCTTTAGATATGTATTGCTTGGAGTCATATTCACTCTTAAAAATAAAGGCATTGATGGTTTCATGAAGAACCATTAACATTCATGGAATCTTTCCATTGCACAGAAGGTTCTTTATATCATTAAAATATTATTCAATCTAAGATAATATGGTTCTTCTATGGCATCTTTGGCATAGAACATTTATGCTGAACCTTTATTTTTAAGAATGTTTCTGCTGAAGCTGCTACTTAAAACATTTATTTACCAATCTCATCATCATTAGTTGCTTGCTCCATTTCAGTGAGAACTCCTTTCCAGTTCGCATGTCCAGGAAAGTCAACAACCACACTGTCATCACTTTTAATGTCTAAACAGAGAACAAGTTCATATTGTAACACCTTTTCTTTAGTGAGAATTGCTTGATAAATTATTTACAGTATATGAGGGAAAAAATACAGATCTTGCCTTTTACCACTCCCACACTCTTATGAGTGATGTTTCTACCCCAGTTATGTTTTGGGGTAGTAACTGAAGGTTTCACTCTGACTTTGTCTCCAACCTTGATGTTGAATGGATCGTTTTTGGTTGACAAATCTGAAACAAGTAAAATATTACAAACTGCTCAGATGCAATGTGCAATATTCTGTAAGTCAGATGTTCTACATATTTCTGTAGTTTTTTTTTTTTTGATGAATATGGTAGATTACCTGAACCAGCACTGGTCACATGCTCCATTTCTGAAACTACACCAGTCCAGTTTCTTTGTTCGGGGAAATCTACAGTCAACAAATCATCCTGAATTTCTGCAGAAGTATTTATATTTTTTTTTTAAAATCAGTAATGGTAACTATCACATTTTCTCACTCTGTGGTACTATAGATGTTAAGTGAATCTAAAGTTTTATATATGTGTGTGTGTATATATACATATCATTTTACTTATTGTGCTAAATAACAGGAATTGTCATGCCTAATATAAATACAAATCAATATCAGTCAGTGCTCTCACTTTTAACAACACCAATGCTAAAGTGAGTAACCGATCCCCATTTGTGTGTTGGAGCAACAACAGACGGCTTCACACGGACTCTGTCTCCAACTACAATGTCAAATGGAGGCCTTTTTGCTGACAAATCTGAAACTAAAAGTAAGAGACTACATTAAACCATTTCATCACTCACAAATACAATTAGATACAAGAAGTCATTAAATGAAATTATTTGTTACTTTACCTTTATTAACTGTTTTGCTTATTTCCTGCGTGCAAGTAGTCTCCAGTCTCCCAGCAAGCTCACATATAAGTTTTCTTATGTCCTCAAAAGAGCAGTACGGCTGAAATGAGAAACTCGGCAACTCATCAGATCCAGATGCAGAGGACACGGACTCACAATTCTGTGGGGGAAAAATATTCAAGGACTAGGTAATATACATTTCAGAAGAACTGTAAATATTTGAACAGTCCTTTTTCTTATAATTCTGGCTTCTAATATAATCATATTGCTTATAGTGCCTGTACATGAAGAAATTGGATATTGTCATCTGTCTGTAGAAGATCTTCTAAAACTCCTTCCCTCTTCTTCAGCTCAGTAATTTCCTCCTGCAGCTTCTTTTGTAGCTTTGTGCCTTGATCCAGATCAGCTTTTTCTTCAGCTTTTATTTCTTCAATCAACTCATTGCTTTTTTTTTCAATAAATTTGACTAATTCACTGAAGACTTTCTTACTGTTTTCCACTGCCTTCTTTGCAGAATCCTGAGGAGAACCAAAGCAAAACAAAAATGTTGTTTACAATTACAAGATCCAACGTGGCAGTGATTAACCTTGTGTCTGATAAATGCAGAGTTGTTCTGTAAAAGTGTGAAAGTTATTTGTTTTACATCAGAACTTACTGAATGGGAGGCGATGTCTATGTTCATCTTCTGCAGCTCTTTTTCTTTTGCCTGGATTGTCTGCTTGACTTTTGTCTGAGTGTCTGTGAGTTTTATCTAAGGGCAAATCAGTACCAGTCTGTTGAATCTTACTGAAAACATTTGTCAATAGCATTTTGTATTTACGTAATGATACGAGTAGGACTGTCAAAGTTATGCGTTATGCGCTGCAATTGATAATGTGAATGAAGCATGTGGTTAATTCAAAATCCTTAACGTGTTAAAATAAATAAATGCAAATAAATTTCTAAAGTACGTAAAATTACATCATTTCACACTCTGTGTAAAATACAGACTGAACCGAATGTCAAAATATCCCAAAATATATGCAAACTTCTCGGCTGGAAAAAACAAACCAGCATCTCACTAGTAAAGTTTTGCAGAATGAGGATTGTAATCAAGGACAATTGCGGTGACCGGTACCGGGTGTTGTAGCCTATAGTTACCACGGACACAAGTCCGTTATATTGACGTGCAAACAATATGTGTAATGTGCGCTCTGGATGCACATAGTATTTATGCACAGACACATTTCAGTACATTGTTATTGTTTCCACACACATTCAGGATAATGTTTTGATTTGTCATGTGTATGTTGCTGTGTTTAGTCATTCTGAATGGATCCGTGTAGGCCTGCTGTAGTAAGTATATGAAGTCAGGTCAAGGGGGTTGGTTTAGAGATTTTTTGGCATCTCCATGTGGTCCTGTTCGGTATCGCAACTTAACTTTTTAAAAATGTGAACAAACTCTTTGCTGTTGCACTGTACACATAGCCTACTATACACTGTGAATTTCTGTAATGTTTTTTTTTTTTTCATGTGTGCTTTGGTATGCATAAATTTATGAATTAGGCCTCCTTATATAATTTGGTTAATAAGTGTCCTTTTTTTTTTTGAAAAATACTTAAATTTACTTTGGAAAAAGCTTTCAGAAAATACATTTTTGTGTGAATCAATCTGATGGGTTGCTGGATATAGCAAATGATGACAAAATGAACGTTTTAAACAAATTGCCTATGCTTATTTTCTTGATAAGAGTGCGATTAAATCGCACAAAAAGGGTGTGATTAATCATGATTTTAAAAAAATGTAATCTATTGACAGCCCTTACAAGTCATTAAAGAAAAAAAAATGATGGACATCACCTGTTTCTCGTTGCACTCTATTGTAGATGGCACTGTGTCATGGCCCTTGTGGTCATCCAATAAGCAATGCATGCAGACACATTTCTGGTCCGTTCGACAGTAAACCTCAAGGAGCTTGTCGTGTTTGGGGCATACTGGAATGACTGCAGCTTTCACCAGCTTGTGTTTCTTCAGGGCAGGAACATTATAGTGGGGTTGTACATGTGTTTCACAGTAAGAGGCTCGACACTCCAGACAAGACTTGACAGCTTTGATCATTTCTCCAGCACAGAAATCACACGCAATCTCTCCAGGTCCAGCAAGACATTGAGCAGACTCTGACACTTGCAGCTCTGTGCTCCTCAGTTTCTCCATTATTTCAGCAAGCACTGTACTTCTGTTGAGTGGAGGCTTTGAATTGAAGGCCTGTCTGCACTGTGGACATCTATAGATCCCGTTCAGATCATTTGTATTCCAGCACTCACCTATACAGCTCATGCAGTAACTATGTCCACACGGAATTGTCACAGGATCCCTCAACAAGTCCAAACATATTGAACAGCTGTACTGGTCCTGATCTCCAAGTATAGCCTCTGCCATTATGCTACCAACACGCGCTAAGACACTACAGAAGATTTGTTTTGCTGTTGTCGTTCCACAAAAGGGTGTTTATCAAAGACCCTCTCTGGTTAAAAAAGAATGCGTTGTGTAATTTAAAAAGAGAGTGAAAGTGAAAGTAAATAATTGGTGTAACACTATGATTAAAAATAATATTAATAGGCTAATAATCATTCTGAAAGACACAAACAACACATAAATACAGATTAAATACAGAATTGAAGATTATTTTTGTATTTACCTGATAACAATTCGTTGTGTCCGTCTTAGTGAGGTGGCAGGAAACGTTTGAGGAACTTTGACCTTTGATCCATTTTATGACTTGAAATGTTTGTTCAAAGTACATGTTCGTCGTAATTAAATCGCGTAAAAAATATTAAGTAATAGGTATGAGTGCAGACATAAAAAGGAAGAAGAAGAAAAAAACACCCAGTGCTGTATAAAATATAAATTAAGATTCTACTGAGTAATCGCGAAGAACTGTTGTGTCTTTTTTCAGTAGTGTCTTTTAGTATAGCCACTAGATGGAGACACTGAATAGAGTATAATAAATCTTGATTCAGTTTCATGTGACAATGAACCATTCTTACTCTTTAAGAGTATATAACAGATTTATTGACAAGTTGACAACCTCATTCAGTCTTAGCATCGATCTGGAGAATTCTCTAACACCATGATTTAATGTTTTCTAGGTAGGCTACGTGAGAAAATGAAGTGATTTGAGTAGACTGTAGCTACTATTGTGTGTTGTCGGCAAAATGGAGCCCAGTGGGACGTCACCACAGTTTAGAGTCAGAAGAGAAACGCAAATTCCCAAAACTGGTGAAAAGAAAGAAATGTCCTATTGATAGGACTTGAACCGATTTAAGGCAGAAGTACCAGATACCTACCTCACGGTATTAAAGCAATGAAAGTCACAACTCAATTCCTCAGAATATGGAAAACTGTTAATCGTGTTATTGTTTTTACTACTGCCAGACAGCCGAAGTTGAAGGCAGACAGTATACAATGTTCCTGCCTAATTAATTAAATTATAGTTGTACTATATAATACTTGACATTTCTTTTCTTTTAAGTCACAACTGGGATGTTTTTCCCAATTCCTGGTAACTAAACTAGAAAAACTGAGTGCTGAAATGTGTGGTCAAAATTAACTGAATATTATTATATTATTAATAAATCTGATTTTATTTTATTAACTAAATTGTTCAAAATGACAAAGGAAAGTGGCATTAAAAATTCCTCAGAAAATTTCCAGCTATTTTCCATCACAGGAATCAAATAGGCCTACAATTTTGTTTTTCCTTAAATATATATATATATATATATTATTTTCAGTTTTACCGTTTGTATCTCCTCCAGCTTCTCAAATGTCTGTACACCCCAACATACAGAAACCATTTGAAGGTTTAATTAACAGATTAAATTAAATTAACATACTGTGCTTATATTTGTTACATACATTACATAAAAAGAAAACGGTTATAAAAATACAAATGCCCCAGAAAATCAAATATTGCTATTTAATAACAAAGTTCATATCTGACATTGCCTTCAATATAACTAACTTTGAATAACATGTAAATCTTTCAAATGTAAATGATTTTCTGAATGTTATCTAGTAAACTCTTATTTGGCCTGTGGGGATGGCTGAGAAATTAGACCAATAAATAACTCTGTGTGTACTTTGTGAAATCATACATTCTTGCATGTCCATTTGATTTTTAAGATGCCTCAAAACAAGATGTGCATTGTTGAAGTTGGGGCCCAGGGTAGAATCACAGACGCTTTTGTTCGGGGCTCCCCGCTCCTGCGATGGCCTGCTGTCGATCAAGATGCAAGAGTCCGCCCCCATCGGCCCTTTCACTGCTGCAGCTGGCTGCCTCTCGCTGCTTACCGTATGCTCACTGCAATCTGTGCTGGAGAGGCCGAACGGGCTGCAGCTTCAGTATTAAACCCGGCCTACAAACGCTTATGACGCTCGCCATCAAAGAACACGAACAACACGAGGTAAGTCTAAGCGTGCGATTTAAATACAATATATTATGTAGTCGCACCGCTTAATATAATCTCGATCCGCGATGGTTAAACGCGCGGTCTATTTCGAAAAGCGGCATGTTTGCGGAAGTGACCGTGTGGTCCATGTTTAGCCGCCCCTGTTATTTGCCTTTACATGTCATGTGTGTATCCAAAATATGTTTCACTCTCAAGTGCATTTTGTCGACACGGTAAGCGTTTGGAAAAGTTGAAGACGCTGTTTAGGTTGCCCGTAAACAAGGCGAAGTTGACTAGCCAGCGGACCCGTTTGAAAAATCAAAATGGCTTCCATCTTTGTCGTCTCGGCAGGGGTTTATACCTTTGTTTCCCCGTCTCGCATGTCAGGGAGTCTGTGAGTAACCTTTTTTTATATTTATCTAGAGGATTATTGTCCACCGAACCTTCGTATTAAGAGTCTGGGTGTGTATTTCACTGGTTTTTATTTATTTTGTTACTTACCCAGTAGTGCACTTTTTGACCAGTGACCACGTCAGTGCGGTGGGGGAGGGGAAGTGAGTCTGTCTGGGTGGAGCCTGAATGATACATTTCGTTTTAGTTTAGACTCCAGCTACTTGAAGATTTTTTTACTGATTTGTTTTTATTATTATTAATTTCTTTTGATTAGTTTTGTCACAACTTGCAATGTAGAATTCCAGTTTCCTCAAATTCTTAACTGTTATACTTGAGGGCACATGGAGATCTCCTGAAAATCTTTCTCGATATAGAGTGCTGCAGGAATAACATATTTTTGTAGGCCAACCTAGAAGTTAGCATCATATTGGTTCCCTTGACAAAAAGCCAATAGGATTTTCCCTCTGACGTTTAGATCATTGCAAAAAATAATCTCTGTGAACAAGCTTATGATTCTCACTTATGATTCTCGCATGTTTCGCTCATCATAATAATCACAAGTTAACACAACTTTTATAAATTTGATGCCTAAATGCAACTGGACGAATTAAAAAAAACGATATAAACAAACTACACCACAGTTGCATGACTTCACTGTCACCACCACTGAGTTTCCGCCAAATCTTTTAATCTTTAAAGGCAACAAATTGGAAAGTTTGAGTTAGAATATTTTGCAAGAGCACAAGTATAACAACAAGGCTGTAAAAGTAGACTTGTGAGTAGATATTTGCTTGAATGGCATTTAATGTCCCCGGCAGACTCTGAAGTTCCATTTAGAGCAGTGGTTGTCAAACTCGGTCTTGGAGGGCCGGTGTTCTGCAAAGTTCAGCTCCAACTTGCCTCAACACACCTGCCTGGAAGTTTCTAGTGTACCTAGTAAGACCTTGATTAGCTGGTTCAGGTGTGTTTGATTAGGGTTGGCGCTAAACTCTGCAGGACCAAGTTTGGTGACCCCTGCTTTAGAGCTTTTTCAAGATGCACAAAAGCTCAAAAAATCATGAGTGGGATTTTATGTTGCAGAATAAAACGTGAAATATCTTGAGCTTGTGTAAACCACAGACTTTATTTCAGGTATTTAATAAAAAAACGCACTGATTTCGGGACGATGGAACCCGAAGTTCAAAAATCCGAACTCGTTTCCGTGTTTTAGGACTCATTCCTGTGGCACTCTATTTCTATTATTAACTGAATGCAGTGCTGGTGTTAGAAATGTTGGTTGTAGTTTTGGTTGCAACAGATGTGTGTCAGCTTGCACTCTGGTCTCTTTTTCAACAGTGCTGGGATGTCACCCATGCTTCAGGTAGGCACACAACCATGCCCTTAATATAACTGGTTAACAGTGTGGTTATGGGTTTAAAGTTCTTGTTTGTGATCTTGGTTAACTGTCAAGCAAATCATCTCCATTATGTTAAGTCATCCCTCTTAACATGAAATGACTTTGCAATACATGTGGTGGTTTTTTGTGTGCTTGCACTCAATGGATTTGTTGGTTTGCTTGTTTTGCATAGATTTTGATGTGTAAAATGTAACTCATTACCATTGTTTAGCTATCGTCTTCTGTCTTTCCCACCTTTCACCTACCCACCAGTATTTGTAGCTGATCAGAGGTCCCTGTGCCCCCTCCCTACTCCTTCCAACATACATACACACACAGTCACATACACGCTCACAAACACTCAGTCAGTCAAGAGCTAGTGTGATGACAGATAATGTGCTTTGTCATGCTGGTTGGTGTCATGTGTTTTTCCTATACTGGATGCATGTTTGTTACTTTTAGGCTCCCGTAACCCTGGTTGGCTGGCCACGGAGACAGGGAGTCCTCGTCTCAGTACTGTGGCTCTCCACATTAGACTTTCTGTTTGGGGTATCTACTTTCACCTCCACTTTTATTCATATTCAAAGGCTTGAAGCACAATTCCAACATTTTATTAGTTAAATGAGTCATTTGATATAGTGTGATTTAATGTAGATTACTTTAATAATCTTCAAATTCCCATCATGTGCAAAGACATTAAAAAATCCAATGGTTGTGGATTGATCGTGAATGTAAGATGTGATCTTTAGCCTCAAAAATATTCTGACGTTCTAAAGCGTAGGAGTTTATTGTTCCTGCTAAAATAATTTTCAGTTACACTAAAGCATTTTTCATAGTCCATATTAGACTCTTGCCAAGGTCCATTATAGTATTTAAAATGTTACAGTAATCATCATAGTTAATTATCCATTGTATTTAAACAATATATTCATACGCACATACATATTTATGTCACAGACATTTTGATACAATTTAAATGTTCTAAAAGAATAATTTAACTCTGAATTATTTGTTTGTATGTTTTCTTTTTTTGTTAAGATAATTGCACTCAATTGTATTTTCATAGAATGACTTTCCTTGAATTTATTCTTTGTCATTGACATTTCTATTGGTTTTATATTCTAGTTCAGATATTGCAATAATTATCATTTTTAATAAATGTAAGGGAAATTTTTACAGATCTAAGACACAGGATCAGAATTGACTTTGAACAGAACTGGATGAATGTGAACTGACCATTGCTATCCCTTTTTCTTTTCTGTAGGCTAAACATGTTCTCCAAGGGCACCAAGCGTAAGTTTTCCGATGGTGGTGAAGAGATATCCGACGAAAGCCTGCTAGGTGCCAGGGTGGCATCTTCATACAGCTTGCAACGGCAGTCACTGCTGGACATGTCCCTCATTAAGCTGCAGTTATGCCACATGCTGGTGGAGCCCAACCTCTGCCGCTCGGTTCTCATTGCTAACACGGTTAGGCAGATTCAGGAGGAGATGACCCATGATGGCAGCTGGCATATGGTCACTGAAGCGTTCTGCAGTGCAGGCCAAAGTCCCTCTGAGCGCTTGGTGGCCACTGAGGTCCTTTGCAGGTCACGAGAGCAGGATGCAGAACCTAAGCTCTTCTCTGTCATCAGCTACGAAGGTTGCCGTGAAGAGGAGGTGGTAGCTGATGAGACTCTGTGCTCCGTTTCAGTTAGCGATACTGTCTCTAATGTGTGCCTGGCAGGGCGTATGGGCCAGTGCTGGGAGAAGAGTGAGCTCAGTGGTGTAGAGAGGGATGAAGAGGCCCTTGAAGACTCTAGACTTGGTTCAGGAGAAGATGAGGAGATAGACACCGAGGACGGGGCTTCCACAGAGAGTCCAAAGACCATTGGGCAAGTTTTTGGTACATTTGAAATAAAAAACGGTTCCCCGGGTCCAGACTCTGCTCTTGAGGAGCTGTTCTCAGATGTGGACACCTCCTACTATGATCTGGACACCATGCTGACCGGCATGCAGAGCGCACCCAAGATGGGCCCTTATGACCTCCTTGACAGCTTGGCACCTTCACACAGTTCCCCTTCAATAGTGTCCACCCCAAACTGTCGTTCTGATCTCAATGAACTGGATCACATCATGGAAATCATTGTGGGTTCTTAGGTTCGACCTTATTCAGAGACTTACACGCTTGTCTTAATTTTACTAGCTTTTCTGTTCCTTATGGAAAGCAAGTAAAGTCTGGAGTCCTTTCAGGGAAAAGAGTTGATGTCTTTTGAAGGATGGCCTTGATTTTATGAGCTGACCATAGTCATCTTATTTGCATACCCTTTGTATGTTTTAATGATTTTTTTCTGTATTTGTCTGTCCAGACATGCTGTTTTTTATTTAATTTATTTGTTATAATCATGACACTATGGAGAGCAGAACAAGATGTATACAAAAGTTGTAAAGCTTGGGATATTTTCATAAGGAGAAAAAAAAGATTGTCTAGATGTGTATATAAATATATATTTTTACAATAGATTCTTCTTGTAATATGTTACTGTACATTATGTACATGTTCTACAAATTGATTTTAACCGAAGAGTTTAGATTCTTATGTGCAACAAATCAAGTTTTCTGTTAATCAAAATCCATAAACTGAAGGAGCTTAATTCAGTACTACAATATACAAAAGGCACCAAGTATACATACAGTGACGCATGTTTTACATTTATGTGCTCATTTGCACAAAGTATTTTTTTTTTCCTCAAGGTTTGATTGCAGTTGTCGGTCAATCAGCTCAGCCGTAGATTTTGTTTGCCGTTAGGCATCAAAGTTCTTATATTTTGTCTTGTCAACAAATGAAGTGTAATGGGGCCAACTCATTTTATATTGTGACTTAATTTATTTAATTTATTTACTGCAAACGGTGAGTGTTGGCTGTGGTCAAACTCAGGGTGGCTTTTAACTCTAGAGGACTTAATAGGCCTGATTCACAAATGCCTTTTGCTCATTGTAAATTGGTCACAGAATTAGTGTTTTGTAAGTTGTTTTGCATCAGTTATTGGTTAAAGTATTGGTTTTAAATAAGTTAACTGTTTTAATATTGGTGAATGGCTCAAGTATATCTGTCTATTAGTCCTCTAGACCCCTCATAATGAGAAGGCATTTGTCTAGTTCTATGCATTGAGTGTCATAACACACTTTATACGCATGAAGTGTTTAAAATGCATTTAGTACAGTATTCTTTTTTTGAAGAAGCAGTCAACAAGAGACGGTTTTATTTTGCTCAACATTTTCCCCCAGTTGTTACATGTATATTATTTGGTTTTATCTACATTTTTGCATAAACTATGTTTGTGCAAATTATAGGTTATTACACTTTGATAATTGTTTTCTTCTACATTGTCTCACACTTAAATTCTAAGAGGATGTTGTTTATTGTATGATCTTAAACTAGTATAGAGTATAAACCTTTTATATGAGCATTGTAGCTTTTTAACGTTTTTTAATAAAAGGTACAACTTATGAAAACAAGTGTGTGTGTGTACATGTTTTTCTATACTGGTGGGGACTTAAACCTGAATACACACCAACTCATGGGGACTTGTCACTGTACATGGGTACAGAAGCTTATAAATCATACAGTTTTTTTTGAGATTGTAAAAATGCACAAAGTTTTCTGTGAGGGGTAGGTGTAGGGCAATAGAAAATAGTTTGTACAGTAAAAAAATAATTACACTTATGGGGAGTCCCCACAAGGATAGTCAACTAGACTGTGAGTGTGTACAGGTTTATATATCCTGGTGGGGACTTAAACCTGAATACACAGACTCATGGGGACTTGTGTCACGGTGGGGACCTAAATTGTGGTCCCCACGGGTACAAAAGCTTATAAATCATACAGAATTAAGTTTTTTGAAAATCTAAAAATGCAGAAAGTTTCCTGTGAGGGGTAGGTTTAGGTGTAGGGTTGGTGTAGGGCAATAGAATATACTGTCTGTATAGTAGAAAAACCATTAAGCCTATGGAGAGTCCCCACAAGGATAGCTGACCAGGCATGTGTGCTTGTGCGCGTGTGTGTGTGTGTGTGTGTGTGTTTCTCCTGCAGTCAACTATTAAGGAGTTCAGCTGTCAGAACAGTGCCTATAAATGAGCATTGAGAATATTTGTTTGAATAAAGTGTGACATTTGAAGGGGCAAGATAACCCAGTAACTGAGTTGGGTATAAAGTAAAGACATGTTTTTGATGTCGACTTATTTTTCTAAACTGGTTTGAAGATATCATGTTGGATTGTTTCCATGTAATGAAGAATTGATACAGCCAGAAAACATATTAATTATTAATAATACCAGGGAAACATAAAACGTATATATTAATAGGCACAAAACCTAAAATGTTACCAGAGAGCAAACGTACAGTAGGACCTCCATTCCTAAAATCAACGTCAAGGTTTTATTCTCAACGGAGCGAATTCTCACGCAAGTGACGTCAGCAGATGTGACTCAAATGAACGTCAATGTTTAAATCCCTCCGCTTGCGCGCGGATATTATTAGATTATATGTCAGAAAATGTTGTATTATCCAACCTACATAGTTGTGAGGAGGTTTTATTACCTACTGTATCAGACTCGACTAAAAATCAGCTTTGCAAAGCATAATTTAGAGAAATTCTACAGTAAATATAACTCTTAACATCTGTAGTATTCAGATGCACGTTTTCTTAAAATAGACATGAAATAGACAAAAAGCAAATGGAAAGCCACAAACGTGCCATTTACAATTGAGTTTGTGCCGTAGTCCGATAGCCGGTGCTCCAAACGGTCACGTTTTCAGTCTGTGGGCATGTTAGGGGGACGAATGTGACGGACTAGAGAACACGCGTTCCACCAATCAGGGGCAGTTACTAGGCGGGTCTGAGATCGCGTTCGACCAATCACAGCCATCCAACCTGACGACCGTCAATCAGCTGAGTTCTTTTCCCGTTGATTCTAGTGTAGAGAGAGTTCTCTTCTCGTGCCCGCGTAAAGACGCGATCGGTCGCGTAGTTTTGCGCAAAGTAATGTTCAGACTTTGGACCAGAAGCTCAACGCGAAGTTCAGCGACCGATTTAAACAACCGTACATCCTATTTTTATCAGTCAAGAGAATGTAGCGGTCATTCGAGGATCTCGGGTAAATTAATTTCGTAGTTCCATGTAGACGGAGCCCGCACTTTACCAAGTACAAACTAGCTAACGTAACTGGCTAATTCATTGCGCATCACTTGTGATCTTAGCCGCGGAGTCTAGCGGTGCGCGCTCACGTCTTGCGAGAGTAGTTGGTTGTGATAAACGCTAAACAACGAAGCAGTTGGTTGAGCCAAACATAATGGTATGGGTCAAAGGGACATCACAGCGTTCGAGGCGTCCATGAAAAGAAAAAGCGGAATTCCCACTGCCTCTATGTGTCGACTGGATGTGGAGTCCGCAGTTGTGAAGAAGGAAGTTGAGCCCGGCGGAGGAGATGGTGCCCGTTCCTCGTCAAGGTAACGATTTTTAGTCAGAAACTGTTTTCTGGATGTCATTTGAGCATGGCAGAAGACCTTTTAGTTATCATTCTGTTTTTGGAAATTGTTTTATGTATTAACACTGTTCAGCACTGTCCCGCTTTACGTAACAACTCGAGTTTATATTGACGATACTCGAGCTTGTGTTACTCCGTCCACACTAGTTTATTTACAACTGGAGCAGTCCTAGCCAAAAGAATGTAGTTTTTATATCTAGATTATTGTGTATGAGCCTATAAATACAGAGATTTTGGTACCTCGCGTTTTCTTCTGTACGTCGTACGTGATTTCGGTTGCGTAACGGGGTCGATTCGGACCCGAATAACGTTTACTCGTAATATGTGACTGGACGGTTTTTCAGCAAACTTGTTATTAAAGAATAAAATGGTATGTCGTTACGACATTTCAGACGTCTTTTCGCAAACATGTCTAACTAAAGCAATAGCGAAAGCCAAGAATGCATGAATGCAGTTTTCAGTTTTACTAAAGTTTCATTATTCGAATGAATGATGTGTAATTTTACATGAATCTTGATGAGTATGTATCATAGTATGTGTCTTCATACGCGAAGAACTCGAAGAGTGATTTAAACTTACGTGCAGTTTCAGTTTCAGCTACCTTTCGGAAAGCAAATGCCATAGTTTTTGTTGAAAGCAGATAGTATGTGGAGTTTAAATGATACAATCTTCATTTGGCTGTAATATTATATAGTAAGAGTTGAAATGTAGTATGGTTATTTCTGGGTATTTTTAGATAATTGGCTTGAGCCATAATAAGTACCACCTTAAGGTTTTTAAAGAAATGCACAGGTTTGTAATATGTATTTGTCTTCTACAGATGCTAATAATGTCGTTTTCGGCACTCGGCAGTAAACAGCATGCCAACAGTGCATAAACTAGGTTCTGCTCTCTCATGGCTGTCAAACAGTCAGTTAACTTCTTGCAAAAACGTTATCAGTTGTTTTTCGCTTTTTTTTTTTTTTTTGCAAAAGCAAATGACTTATTAGAAGGTCTTGATGTTTTCACAGTAAGCATTAAATTGAATGTAAAGCAGGGTTGTCAGCAACGTCTTGACCTTTGCACCTCAGTCATTACTTGCTAATTATTTCTTGGTAGGCAAGTATTCAGATTAAATGAATAAAATCCTTCTGAATCTCATACTAGACGGAGGTTTCACCACTGACTCAAAGACTTAGACCCATGCCCGGTTCTTAAGCACAATAGAAGGGTGGGCTGGCAGATATCCTGGGTAGGCAATTATTATTTTTTAAATTTTTTTTGTGGAGGGTGGGGAGGGGGTGGGATACAGTCTAGAAAGTTAGACTGTAGATATTGCTACTTTAGCTATGCAACTTATTGCAGTGTTGTTGATATATGTACACTGAAAAAAGAGCAATATCATGCTTTCGTGGGCAGCCTATAGCGAACCATAGAATATCATTAACTTTTGCAACAAAATAAACTTTTTTCTTTACTGAATAGTAAAAAACGGCCCTCTTTGTTCTCTTTCTCTGGATCATTGTTTCTACATTGATGATTCTTTTAACCAAGTTTTTTTTATTTATACCAAACAAGGCCGTAATAGCTACACAGAGCCGTAGTTCATTGACAATTAGGCAATATCGCGTTCATAATCGCAGATGAATCGTGTTCAATTATGAACGCGATATTGCCTAGCTTGTCAGTGAACTACGGCTCATCTTATTCTCAGATAATACAATAAGTTTCTTCACCTGTGTTGATAGTACTATCAACTACATTTTAAAATATGCACTATTCAATTTTATTGTATTCCTAATATGTTGAAAACGCAAAACAGAAAAATGCTATTGTCGTCACATTCAATTAACTTAGAGGGCTGTGCAATTAATCGCATGCGATTGTCATGTGCATCTCGTCAGTAAAGCCGGTTCCGTGATTAGTAGTAAATCTCCATCACCTGCTTTACATGCGATTAATTGCACAGCCCTAATGCCGAGTTCACACTTCACGATTATAGCCCGATTTTTCACTCGCCGACAGGTTTTGCGAAATCACCGACAAATGCCAGACATCGGAGGCAAATCGGTGCTTAGGCCATGGCAATGAATTGCATGAATCACAAATGACAGGCCTACATTCAATTCATTTCACTGGATATTGTGGGCCGTTTATGTCATTGTAAAATAATAGTAAAATAACTATTACACGTTTAGCTACTTTGTACCTTCACCGAAGCACCACGGTGAAATTCGTGCTCGGTTTCTGTGAACAGTAAGACCCACCTTCTTTGATTTGATTGGTCATCTCAATCATTTTGACATTGATGAGCGCTGTTAGACGGCTGGACCTGAGGCAGACCAGAAAATTTAGATTTTAAAATGTCTTAAAATGCAACAGTTTTTACTTTTATCCTATGAAAATTCTGAAAGAAAACGCTTCGTGAGCCAACTGTTGCTATATAGTAACAAACGCAACTTTCATCGCACAAGCTATTATTTCAGTGTTGTTGTTTCTAACATTGTGGTCATTTAAGCAGGCTGTTTGTTTCTTACATTCAATTTAACAGCATTAACAGCAAGTCAAAATGGGTAAGCTTTCAACTGAACTGTATACATGCATTTTAAATGCTAATTCTTTGTTCTTGCCCCGTCCATGCAGTAAATGCACGTTATTGAATAAGCGAGGTTTTCTAGAAAAATAATTCAACTGCTCAGGTAATTTCAGTGGTAGGCTAAGGCACATATTCATGTAGATGCGTATTAAACTCCCGTAATTCGCACACTTACAGTGCGCAGGCACAAGTATTTTTCTGCCCGTTTTCGCTCGTTGTCAGCCTCTGCTTTTCCACAACAGACTGAATCCCCCACGTGAATGTAGCGCGCCTTTGCTTTCAGCTAATAAAAGAAAAATGATGCAATTTCTGGTGTTATTTCATGATTGTTGGGGCAGTCTTCAGATCTTATTAAACATCTCAAAATACAGTCCGCTTCATATTGCTTTTAATCACTGCATAAAAAGATTAACGCAATCTTTCCCTATAGTTTTGATTGGGCAAGACACATTTGGGTGGGCTCAGCCCACCCCAACCATGTGGGGCCCACATATACATGTTGGCTGGGGACAGGCCTACATTCAATTCAAAATGGCAAAAAAAAAAAAGAAATAAATAAAAAGTCGAATAGTTTGCATCACTGGATATTGTTGGTCGTTTATATCATTGTAAAACAATTGTAAAATAGCTGTTACACGTTTAGCTATTTGTACCTTCACTGAAGAGCCACACTCGGTTTCTGTGAACAGTAAGGCCCGCCTTCTTTGATTTGATTGGTCATCTCAATCATTTTGACATCGATGAGCGTGAGCGCTGTTAGACGGCTGGAGCTGAGGCAGACCAGAAAATGTAGATTTTAAAACGTCTTAAAATGCAACAGTTTTTACTTTTGTCCTATGAATATTCTGAAAGAAAACGCTTCGTGAGCCGACTGTTGCTATATAGTAATGAACACAACTTTCATCGCACAAGCTCTTATTTCAGTGTTGTTGTTTGTAACATTGTGGTCATTTAAGCAGGCAGTTTGTTTCTTACATTCAATTTAACAGCATTAACAGCAAGTCAAAATGGGTAAGCTTTCAACTGAACTGTATACATGCATTTTAAATGCTAATTCTTTGTTCTTGCCCCGTCCATGCAGTAAATGCACGTTATTGAATAAGCGAGGTTTTCTAGAAAAATAATTCAACTGCTCAGGTAATTTCAGTGGTAGGCTAAGGCACATATTCATGTAGATGCGTATTAAACTCCCGTAATTCGCACACTTACAGTGCGCAGGCACAAGTATTTTTCTGCCCGTTTTCGCTCGTTGTCAGCCTCTGCTTTTCCACAACAGACTGAATCCCCCACGTGAATGTAGCGCGCCTTTGCTTTCAGCTAATAAAAGAAAAATGATGCAATTTCTGGTGTTATTTCATGATTGTTGGGGCAGTCTTCAGCTCTTATTAAACATCTCAAAATACAGTCCGCTTCAGATTGCTTTTAATCACTGCATAAAAAGATGAACGCAATCTTTACCTATAGTTCTGATTGGGTGGGCAAGACAGACAGACATTTGGGTGGGCTCAGCCCACCCCTGCCCATGCCTGGAGCCGGCCCCGCTTACACCATTGATGAGACTAACGGGCTTCATATGAGCGTGTGTTCACGTCTGTCAGCGTGACTAACACCCTGAGTCACTTCGTCAGCCTGTTGGAGCCGCCCAGTTACAAAGCTGTCCAAACTAAGACATCCGGCCTGTCTACCCAGTGGTTCATTATTCAAGAATTAGTCGGCTTGTCAATGGCATTTGCCACCTACTCCCTCCCTTCTACTCGCAGTCAATCCCTGGTGCTCTTTCTTACACTCCTCAACTCAGTCTCTCTTTTTCCTCCCACTTTCTCTTGCAGACTAACTTTTCTTGATGCTCCTGCTTGCACTGACTTACGTACACCCTCTCTCTTTTTTGCTCTTTTTTTTTTTTTGCTTTCCTGCTGTCCTCTTTATTGTTACTACCTCCTTTGGGGCACTGGGAGGGCCAAGAGAGGGAAATCGGAAGAGAAAAAGATGGAAAAATGACTCAACCATGTCAGTTCGGTTTGATCTTGTGCAGGAAGTATCATAACTTAAGCCGGCCTATGAGTTGAAGCAACTTTTATCTAGTCCTCAGAGTGTGACTAAAGATCATTTCAGTGCTGTCTGTCACTTTGTGTTCTTCTGTTCATTTATTTATTTTTTTATGTACTAATCACACAGTGATGGAAATGAAGTTCTTATCTCTCTACCTTTAGTGAAACTGGTGTATCTTTTTGTGTGGAACTAGGCTGCTATTAATTTATGTGGTGCTGTGCTGCTGTAAGTGAAAGCAGCAGTTCAAAGTCACTTCTCAGTTGTTCAGCCTCTTATGTGTGTTGCACAGTCAGTGTAAATGATAACTTGACGGTCTGTATAACACTGAATGTCAACAC